ACCAAGATGGGATCTGGAGGAGGTTGGGGGCACCAAGATGGGTCCAGGTGGAGATTTGGGGGGACCTGGAGGAGATCTGGGGGCACCAAGGTGGGATCTGGAGGAGATCGGGGCCACCAAGATGGGACCTGGTAGAGGTTGGAGCCACCAAGGTGGCACCTGGAGGAGATTTGGGGGCACCAAGGTGGTTCTTGGTGGACCTGAGGGCACCAAGATTGGTCCTGAAGGATCTGGAGGAGGTTGGGGCCACCAAGGTGGGATCTGGAGGAGGTTGGGGTACACCAAGGTGGGTCCTGGAGGACCTGAAGGAGGCGGTGGGTGCTCAGGTGGGTCCAGGTGGAAATTTGGGGACACCAGTGAGGCTCTTGGTGGACCTGAGGGCACCAAGATGGGTCCTGGAAGATCTGCAGGAGATGGGGGCCACCAAGGTGGAACCTGGAGGACATTTGGGGTCCCAAGGTGGGTCCTGGAGGAGGTTGGGGGCACCAAGGTGGTTCTTGGTGGACCTGAGGGCACCAAGATGGGTCTTGGAGGAGACTGGGAGAACCAAGGTGGGACCTGGAGAAGATTGGGGGGGCACCAAGGTGGGACCTGGAAGAGATGGGGGCCACCAAGATGGGACCTGGAGAAGGTTGAGGACACCAAAGTGAGACATGGTGGAGATGGGGGCCACCAAGATGGGTCCTGGTGGAGCTGGGGGCACCAAGATGGAACCTGGAGAAGATTTGGGGACACCAAGGTGGCTCTTGATGGACCTGGAGGAAACTGAGGGCACCAAGGTGGGAGCTGGAGGATCTGGAGAAGGTTTGGGGCCACCAAGATGGCACCTGGAGGAGATTTGGGGACACCAAGATGGGTCCAGGTGGAGTTGGGGGCACCAAGGTGAGACCTGGGGAAGATTGGAGGGCACCAAGATGGGGCCTGGAAGAGCCTGGGTGGGCACCAAGGTGGGTCCTGGAGGATCTGGAGGAGATGGGGGCCACCAAAGTGGGACCTGAAGAAGGTTGGGGGGCACCAGGGTGGGTCCAGGTGGAGACTGAGTACACCAAGGTGGGACCTGCTGGAGTTGGGGGCCACCAAGGTGGGACCTGGAAGAGATGGGGACCACCAAGATGGCACCTGGAGGAGGCTGGGGACACCAAGGAGGGTCCAAGTGGAGATTTGGGGGCACCAAGTTGGGTCCTGGAGGAGATTTGGGGGCACCAAGGTGGCTCTTGGTGGACCTGAGGGCACCAAGATGGGACCTGGAGATCTGGGGCCACCAAGGTGGGACCTGGAGAAGATTGGGGGGGCACCAAGGTGGGACCTGGAAGACCTGGGGGCACCATTGTGGGTCCAGGAGGAGATTTGGGGGCACCAAGGTGGGTCCTGGAGGAGACTGGGAGAACCAAGGTGGGACCTGGAGGAGATTTGGATTCCCAAGGTGGGATCTGGAGGAGATTTGGGGGCCACCAAGATGGCACCTGGAGAAGGTTGAGGACACCAAAGTGGGACATGGTGGAGATTGGGGGGCACCAAGGTGGGTCCTGGTAGACCTGGAGGAAACTGAGGGCACCAAGGTGGGACCTGGAGGAGATGGGGGACACCAGGGTGGGACCTGATGGAGGTTGGGGGGCACCAAGGTGGGGCCTGGTGGAGATTGGAGGTCCCATGGTGGGTCCAGGTGGAGATTTGGGAGCACCAAAGTGGGACCTGGTGGACCTGGAGGAAACTGAGGGCACCAAGATGGGTCCTGGTGGACACTGGGGATGCCGAGGTGGGACCTGGAGGAGATTTGGGGTCACCAAGGTGGGACCTGGAGAAGGTTGAGGACACCAAGGTGGGACCTGGAGGAGATTTGGGGTCACCAAGGTGGCACCTGGGGCAGGTGATGGTGTCCAGCTGGGTTGGGCAGGACCTGGTGGAGATTGGGGGCCACCAAGGTGGGGCCTGGAAGAGCCTGGGTGGGCACCAAGGTGGCGCCTGGTGGAGATTGGAGGTCCCATGGTGAGTCCAGGTGGAGATTTGGGAGCATCAAAGCGGGACCTGGTGGACACCAAAGTGAGTCCTGGTGGACACTGGGGATGCCGAGGTGGGACCTGGTGGAGATCTGGGGTCACCAAGGTGGGTCCAGTAGGGTCAAGAAGAGATGATGGACACCAAGGTGGGCCCAGGAGATGTTGAACCTCAAGGTAGGCCCAGGAGGGATGGCGGACACCAAGATGGGCTCAGGAGAAGCAGGAGACGATGATGGACACCAGGATGGACCCAGAAGGATCAGGAGAAGATGGACACCAAGATGGGCCATGGAATTGATGATGGACACCAAGATAGGTCCTGAAGCTGCAGATGATGGATACCAAGATGGCCCCTGGACTTGTTGATGGACACAGAGATGGCTCCTGGAATTGTTGATGGACCCAGAAGGATCAGGAGAAGATGGACACCAAGATGGCTCCTGGAATTGTTGATGGACACCAGGATGGACCCAGGAGGATCAGGAGAAGATGGACACCAAGATGGCTCCTGGAATTGATGATGGACACCAAGATGGTTCCTGGAATTGTTGATGGACACCAAGATGGCTCCTGGAATTGCTGATGGACACCAAGATGGCTCCTGGAATTGTTGATGGACACCAAGATGGCTCCTGGAATTGTTGATGGACCCCCAGACGGGCCCAGAAACTGCAGATGGACCCCAAACCACCTCCAGAAAACCCACGGGCGCTCCCAGGACGTTCTCCAACCCCACCGATGGGACGCGACGGCCACCGCGACCTCCTCCTCCTCCATCGCCCC